GTCATGCTCATCATGTCACACACATGTCAGTTCAACACTCGTCATGCTCATCATGTCATACACATGTCAGTTCTTCAACACTCATCATGCTCATCATGTCACACACATGTCAGTTCAACACTCGTCATGCTCATCATGTCACACACATGTCAGTTCAACACTCCTAATGCTCATCATGTCACACACATGTCAGTTCAACACTCCTAATGCTCATCATGTCATACACATGTCAGTTCAACACTCGTCATGCTCATCATGTCACACACATGTCAGTTCAACACTCGTCATGCTCATCATGTCACACACATGTCAGTTCAACACTCCTAATGCTCATCATGTCACACACATGTCAGTTCAACACTCCTAATGCTCATCATGTCATACACATGTCAGTTCAACACTCGTCATGCTCATCATGTCACACACAGTCAGTTCAACACTCGTCATGCTCATCATGTCATACACATGTCAGTTCAACACTCCTCATGCTCATCATGTCATACACATGTCAGTTCTTCAACACTCATCATGCTCATCATGTCACACACATGTCAGTTCAACACTCGTCATGCTCATCATGTCATACACATGTCAGTTCTTCAACACTCCTCATGCTCATCTTGTCACACACATGTCAGTTCAACACTCGTCATGCTCATCATGTCACACACATGTCAGTTCAACAGTGCACATGCTCATTGTGTCACACACAGAAGGGTAACATTCCACATACTCATTGTTTCACAGTACACCAAGAGTCCATGTGCTCATGATGTCACTAATGGAGCATCAACTGTCCCCTTCCCCACCTTGTTATGTAGACAGCGAAAGTCCGCATGCTCATCGTGTCACAGCACCAACAGTCCATGTGCTCATCACGTCACACACACAGCACCAATAGCTCATTGTGCACAGAACTCCTGCAGGCCTATCTTCCTGCTCTCAAGTCTCTATCCCATTCTCGTTTCTTTGCAGATTATTCACGATGAATGGGCATCTTTTGGACAACTCTAAGGATTTGCAAGACAACCATTTCTATGTTGCTGCAGGACTGGAGAGCTTCAAGCATTTTGCTTACTGGAAGTCCCCAAAAGTTCCCAGTGAAGTCCAACAGTAAGTGTGTTTTGTGCCTGTCCCTCCCGAGCTTTGTCACATTTACCTCCCTCTCTTCTGAATGTGTCCAGTTCTGTTTTGGTTATTTTTCGGCAGTGAGGCTTGATATTCTCTTTTTTTACATGATGCAATTCTGGACTTTGAAATTAGGCTTGCAGGTTTCCTCTTTTTGGATAAGCCACAGTGATGTGAGACCCTCGGCTGAGTCCATGGTCTTTTCTCTGGGATGCCAGTAGCCTCAGCTGGCATGGGTGGAAATGGGCAGGAGAGTCTGGGACCTAGGATGTGGTTATGCCAGGCTCTGCCGCAGCCAGCAGAACATCTTATTTCCTTAACTTGATGGGCGCTTCTGTATCTGAAATGCAGAGCTTGTGCAGGGCTTCAGTCTTTTTTCATGAAAATATTGAGATTTTTTTGCAGTAGACCACTGACATGAGTGTCTTTATGGACACAAAGGGAAGACCCAAAGTAACACGATGACATTTTTTGGGAGCCCCCATTCCATTACCTGGGAGAACCAGGGACTTCTTGCTGTTCTCTGCCCAGTTTCAGTCTGGTTTTGCTTCTAGAATGACCCCAAATTCACCTGTGATTACTCTTGAGAAAGGTGCTCTTCCACAGACCACGTCTGAAGATGCTTCCCATATGGCTCAGGCCCAGCATTCAAGCGCAGCTCCCCTGATGCTCACAGAGGCACGGGTGGACCATGCCACGGCACCGTGGCCTGCAGCTTTACCTCCTTGACAGCGCAGGAGGAGCTGCTCTGAGTTATGTGCCAGGGCCGAGGCGCATCTGGTAATTCCTTAAAGAAATCTCGCCCTGCCCACCCACACTGCCCCATCTTCCTGGGTTGTATTTGTTTGCAAAATCTCAGTAGTCCCTACTCTGAGTATCAGTGGGACTGTAAATCATTCAAAACAACCTCCTCACTTTGCTGTGCCAGACACAGAAAGCCATGGCTCCTGAGTTGCTGAGTCACCAATGCTGAAGGGCCAGACTCGGCCACAGCTTGGGAAGTTGGTGAGGACAACGCGGGTGACTGGACATGAAAGACAGAACCGATTACTGCTCCAGCATTTACTGGCTGTGTACTCAGAACCTATTTTTCCTCTTTTGTGAAAGTCAAAATTGTAATATTAACATAATGAACAAGGAAGCATTTTTTACAAGTTACAAAGTTTCTGTAATGTGCACCATTGTGATGCTACTCATTGGCTTAAAATCCCAGACTGAGGTTCAAAGGCACAAACTGATCCAAATCCTCAATTTTTCTGCTGCAAACGAGAGCCCAGCTTTAGGGCAGAGGCCACATTTACTGCCTGACAGGCAAGGGGCTCTGGGGATAGACTGGCCACGCTGCAGCTGTCCCCTCTGTGCCCTTGGCTGTGGGCAAGACCTTGGCCGCAGGGCTGTGCTCTCCCAGCCACTCCATTGCTCACCTCCCCCGAGAAGCAGGTTCAGTTCCCAACAAACACTTGGGCCCAGGCTCACCAGATGCTGCCCACTCTACCTCCCTTCGGGGGACAGATGTGCCCTAGTGTCCCTGTAGTTAGATTTCACTGGTTAGTCTTCAACATGGACATCAAGCACCTGTCCCCACACCGATGGGCGTCCTCCGTTCCCCAGCTGGTCGGGTTGAGTGGTTCAAAAGCTCAGGGGAGAGGGAGCGGGAAAGGGGAGGGTGCAGGTGGGAAGGAAGTTATGGCGGGGGGAAGCCATTGTAATCCATAAGCTGTACTTTGGAAATTTATATTCATTAAATAAAAGTTAAAAAAAAGAAACATTAAAAAAAAATAAAAGCTCGCCTGTGGCGTTGTTCATATTTGAGTGCTTGGCGCTGGTTGATGAGCCCCAGGTATGCCCAGTGTAGGAAACCGCAAGAGGGCTTAGCAGGGACTTCCTCGTAGCTGTCTCTGTCCAATCTCAATGGCCGCGAGAAAGGAAGAGCTGTCATTCTCCATGTCATGGCAGAACAGGACAGGTGGTTTAAGTGTGCTACGTGTTTCCAGGGAGTCCCATGCAGCTGGCCAGTCTGCACCCCAAGACCCTTCTGTTTTATTGCATGAGCACCTTCTGCATTTGGTAAGTGTGGCCCCCACTGTGGGCACACTTTGGTGGCGGCCTCTCCTGGGTACTGACAGGTTTCTCCTGGCCCTGTCTACTGAGGACCACCCCACAGCTGTTGTGGCAGCTGGTGAGGCTGGGGTCCTGCAGCCTGTTTCTTTGCTTTGTTGACTTGGTTCAGTGCTGGTGTCCTTGGGAGTGCAGTGAGGATAAGTGCTGTAGGGGCTGCACAGTTCAGCCCGGTGCCTCTCTGCTCGATTTTCCCTGCTGCCCACGACGTGTTCCTCCCTCAAGGTGTTTTGTGTTTTTTCATCATCCTTGGACCCTGACCTGAGTGTGTTAGTAGCTTAAATATCTCTCTTCCCCACCAATGAGGCAAAGGCCGAGGCTGAGGCCAAGCGGGCCCCAGGCAGTCCCTAGGAGACAGGAGTGAGCGACAGCCACTGGAGAGAGCCTCAGTGAGAGGCATTAGAAATGGATGCAGGTGTTGGCCAGGGTGACAAGAGCTCTGGTGTGGTGGATTCTCAGGCTACCCTGGGCGGCTGGAGGACGTGGAGTGAATCCCTGCTGTCTCTTAGTCTAGGTTTCCTCATCGGAACAGCAAGAAGAACACTGCTGAGAGCTGTGTAGGACACTGTGTTGTGAAGGCCATTTAAAAACTGCTGAAAACTTAGGAATGCTTAGGGTCCTCCGCCTCCCACGACATGAAAACCTGGGGGTGGGAGTTGCCTGTAAATGTGGCACCCTTGGCCAGCGAGCCTCTGGTCAACGAGAATGCTCCTGACTTCCCAAGATCCCAAGGAAGGAACCTGGGGACTCCCCTGAGACCCCCTGCTCCTGGGGTGTGGAGTCTCTGTGGCCAGGAGTTCCGTCCCCTGTGGACAGCAGCCCCCCATCCCCCCCAGCAGGTCCCTTCCGCAGCCCCCCCTCTCAGCAGGTCCCTTCCACAGCAAAGGTGGCAGCAGAATTTGCATAATTATGGGTCTGGGCTGCGCTCAGTCACAAGCTGGCTGTCTTTTGTTTTGCAGAAGCTACACGGACACTGAAAAACACCCACAGAGAAAGAAAAAGGTGAGTCTGTTTAAAACAAGAGACGATTGTGGTGTCCCCTGGCAGTAACAGGGACCCTACACATGCCGGGGTCCCTGGGCTGTCAGATGAGTTTCCTGGCGCGGCGTGAGTGGTGGGCTGCAGAGAGGACTCAGATGTACTCCCGTGGCTGACTGCAGAGGAGGGCCGGTTCCTGTTTGGAGCTCACATTCTGGAACAAGGAGGCACACGGGGCTGTTAGTGACACAGCACAGCAGATGTGAAGTGGCATGCACACACTAGATGTTATGGGAGAGGTAGGAGAGAAACTGAGTCAAGTTTGGCATGAGTGGGGGTGGGCTCTGGGGGTGGAGAGGGAGGAGGGCGGTCCAGGCAGATGGGAGAGGGGAGAGCAGCTTGCTATGTGTGTCCATGTGTGGTTGATATCATACATGACGCAGGGGACGGAATGGCACGAGGTAACAGGACTATGGTGGGAATGTAAATTGGTGCAGCGAAATCTGAAAATAGACCTACTGTGTGACTTAGCCATGTCACTCCTGGGAATTTACCCAAAGGAAATGAAATCAGCTATCAAAGAGTTAGCCATACCCCCATGTTTATTGCAGCTCAATTCACAACAGCTAAGATACGGAACCACCCCAGATGTCCATCAACTGATGAATGGATAAAGAAAATGTAGTAAATGTATACAATAGAATAGTACTCAGCCATAAAAAAGAATGAAATCCTTTCTTTTTCAACAAAAGTTACAGGTAGACATCATTATGCTTGGTGAAATAAGTCAGTTCCCAAAAGACAAATATTGTATATTTTCTCTGATATGTGGTAATTAATATAAAATACAAAAAAATATGAAACTGGCTCCTTAAGATTTGATTGTTGCTTTTGCTCTTGTCTACTCCTGTGGAACAATGATCTTTCTACTTTTTACTTGTTGAACATTATATTTAGTGGTGCATTAAGCCTGTGATTATAAAGTAAATTAGATTATAATATTGCAAAAATTAAACAGAAAAGAAGGAAGGAGGGAGAACTGAGTGGGGGAGGGAGGGAGGAAGTATCATTATCTCCTTAGGATTGTATCTAGGAAATACACGAAATCTGTTTTTTTTGTATTAACAAAAATGATAAAAGTGATTTAAAAAAGAGGTAGCAGGACTAGAAAGGGCCTCACCAGTCCTTCTGGCAGGTGCATGCGATCATCAGAGACCCCCAACCAGATTGTAAAATCTGCACGACTGTGGTTCTACCAGCATCATTGCTATCAAATGCCTAATCTTTGCCAGCGCCTATCTTTCAAGTTCTCCGGCTCGAGTACCCTCCTTGCTGTGACTTAGTGGCCTTCAGAGGCCCCAGTGCGTTTGTGCTTTTCAAATACCTGGGTACTACCAGCCCGCGGTTTTGCGTTTCTTCTGCTGCAGCACTGCTTCCATAATCACCCTTTCAGTCACGCTCTTGCAGCAGCCTTTGGAACCACTTGATGTCGTAGCCAGGCTTGGTGAGCCTGACTCAGGTCTCACTGTGCTTGCCGGCAGGAGCGCACTGTGGCCAGTGACAATGACATGATGGACCTACCCTGTCACACTGAATCATGACCACAATCCTACCCAGCCTTTGTTTGCTGAAGAAACCTTACCACTAAAAACGCCTTTCTGAATACATTTTGCCAAATTCTATTAGATACTTTTGTATATTCATACGTGAGGGTAATCTGTGAGAGTGGTGTCATGTTATCTTTATCTGGGTTTTATTGTGAAAGTTTTTTTCCTGAATTGGCTTGGTATTTTCTCAGCTTCCTGAGTTGAATGAGCAGCTTATTTTGGATTTTCTTTCTGTAAGGAATGCATTTCAGTCTTCAGTGTGCAGTGAATAAATGAATGAAAGGTGGTCACTGAGAACACAGGAGGGACAAGAAATGCTGCTGCCCTAGAGTGTGCCCAGGGTGGACAACACACGAAGTTTCTAGAAGTGAGTCCTGTGTGGGTGATACTGTGAGAGGGAGCGGTCAATCCCATGGAGACGGAAGAAAGCTCAGATCATAAAGTGTAGTTCTGAGAAGAGGCAGACATGAGCCTGTGTGAGTGCATGCATGTGTGAGTGTATGTTTCAGGTATGTTTTGTTTCCTGATCTTGGTCTCAGAGTTTTTCCTATTGTCTTCACCAGTGCTTTCACTTATGCTATGAGCAGCGTTGCTCTGGGCACTGGATTTTGAAATATGACTTTTTTTTTTAGTGTGACAATACAATCTTGAAAATCCCATGCTATTTTAGTTCTGGAAACTTCTGAGCACACAGATAACTGAATAGGCCTGCTGGACCTATCATCTGGTTTTATTACCACGTTCTTTGAATGTGTTCTTCTTCTGATGATTTGACTGTGGTTCCTTATAGGTAAGGATATAATTTCATTTTTGTATTATTAAATGTTTATTCTATTTGGTTTAAGCATGTTTGTTTAAATGTTATCATTTGTTGTACTTTTCTGGATATAATTGCTGTAAAGTTAATGGATTTTGATATTGTTTGACATTTAGGAATCTTTAAGCACATGATCACAAAAGATAGCATAAACTTCAGTGCAAAAATACTTTATTCTTCTAAAAATTAATGTGTCACTGGAAAATTTTCATGACATAAATACAGCAAGCACATGATAGCAGGACAGCAAACATATTTTGTGGTGGAATGTGGGAAATTGTGGAAGAAAACAGAAGGCACTGGTTTGACAAAGATTGACATGAAATCTTTGTACTCATTGTAAAAATACTTGTTGAAGGTTCTTCATGTAATTTGTTGTCCCCTGTGTAGAGGCCCACGTTATGCCGTGATATGAGAGCTTGGTTTCAAATGTTTTTGCCTCAGTTGAGGAGTGAGTATGTTTCTGAGAATGAAGACAATCCCACATTCAGGATTTCTTGGGAGCTAGAATTTAGGCTGGGTTACCACAGCACTGTTTTAAGGAATATACTTGTTTACTGTCTTTTTTTAGATTTTATATTTCTAGCTTTAAACTTTTCTGATCTATTTTCTATGTGAATCACATCAACTTCTTTTTGGAAAAGGGGATGAGAAATCAAAAAGGCAAACACCTCTCTCTCTCTCTCTTTTTTTTTTTTCCCGACAGGCAGAGTTAGACAGTGAAAGAGAGAGACAGAGAGAAAGGTCTTGCTTTTCCGTTGGTTCACCCCACAATGGCCGCCACGGCCAGCGCGCTGCGGCCGGCGCACCGCGCTGATCCAAAGCCAGGAGCCTGGTGCTTCTCCTGGTCTCCCATGGGGTGCAGGGCCCAAGCACTTGGGCCATCCTCCACTGCACTCCTGGGCCACAGCAGAGAGCTGGACTGGAAGAGGAGCAACCGGGACAGAATCCGGCACCCCAACCGGGACTAGAACCCAGGGTGCCGGTGCCGCAGGCAGAGGATTAGCCTAGTGAGCCATGGTGTCAGCCGGCAAACACCTCTTAATATGAGCATCGTCCCACTGTGGGGCATGGTGGGCCTTAGCATCTCCATACCATGGGATGTGGGGGTCCTGCCAGGCCCATGGTTGTGCGTTTGAAGGACCTCAGGTAGTCACAGCATCAGTTGTAAGATCAGTGCCGGATTATTTTTCAACATTGAAAGCTGAAAATCATACACCTAGAGTACAAAGCAGAGAATCTTTCTTGACTCTTTCATGAGTATGTCAGAGCTTTTGACCTGTGGACTATCAGACTTGGACGGGGGCACTCATTGATTCCTGTCTGCAGTGCGGTAGCTGCTCTGCTAGTGCTGGAGACAGAAAGATGAATCGAATACAAATGTCTGCTATGGGAGAAGGCAGGTGTGTCAATAGGTCCTCACCCAGCCCTTCCATCTCAATCAATCAAGTTCCATTCACCGCTTGTGCCTTGGCCTAGAAGTCACCCCGATCCCAGCATCAGCCCCTCCTCTCCTGTGCAGTTCCAGCAGATCATCCATTTTCCTTCTGTTAAGCTGCTTAGCTTCCCGACCTGCCAGTGACACTGCCCAACAGAGGCAGGAAAAAGCACACTACATCTGTGGTGGGAAAGCATCTAGAGGTGGGCAGGTGTGGTAGGAGAGGTTGATGAGGCAGGCAGCAATGAGGTCATGAGGCTGCTGGACACGCCAGGGAGGTGTTTATGTTTGTAGGAGTCCAGATGTCAGCAAGAGAGGAAGATGGACAATGCCTACAAGATGATTGTTATTCCTGATGCAGTCCATCATAGGGGCTGAAAATGGAGTCAGACAGACAGGGCCAGAGCAATCCTGAGCAGCTGTAGTGTTCCCAGGAGAGTGAGGGGTGGACCAGAGCAGTGGGCTTGGGAGGTGCTGAGTATTGTCAATTTTGCGATGAGCGTTTCCGCATCTTGACATCTCTGAAATGTTGCACCTTGCGTTGATGGCATCTTGGGGCCACTGTTGTCTGTTGTGTGCAGTTATCGTTTGCTGTTGGGGTCAGCATGGCCATGACTGCCTGTTTTCACCGTCTCCTCCACTGAGCACTGAGCACCATTGGTTCTGTATATTCATCATACATGTTGGATTTGATGTGTAAAATTCCTCAAAGTGATTTTGCTGTGATTCAGAGTTGAGGTGGAAAGTTATTCACAGAGAAGGCATACAAGAAGAGCATCAAGACATGAAGTTGATGGCAGTGGAGTATTTTCTTCAATTCCATGTATTTCTGCTGAGTGACAACCAGCTCCTCTGTGACACTATCACAGGGCAGCAGGCATGCATTGTCTAGGCGTTGCCTTAAATATTCTCTGCTGTGTAACGAGACATCCCCAGGCCTAGGGGTTTAAAACAACAACGACTGGCCATGCGTTCAAATTGGTGGGTTGGCCGGGTTTCACCCATTACTCACAAGGCTGTGTTCAGCTGTCTAAGGTGACCTGGGGTACTAGCACTTCCACAGCTGCTGCTGGCTGTTGGGTCCTTCAGTGGGAAGTTCCAAGAAGTGGAGAAGTAGATTTTCCCTCAACATAGGAGCATGCAGAGTGCTTTTGGCTTTCAT